GTTTTTTTTGACAATGAGAAATGTCTGCTCCTGGCAACACCTATTACGTCTGAGAGGAAGATGGCCATCGAAGAGACTCGTTATGGAGTTTGCTTTCAACATGGCAAGATTAGCCATTTGGGCAAGAAACTGCTCTTGCCTGGACTGCTTGACTGTTGCTGTATAAACTGGACATGCAGGACCCACAGGAAAGTGACTACTGAACTCAAACAGTCCTTTAGGGTTCCTGATTCATGGAAGAGTCTACGAGACCTTTTGAGGACACAGAAAAATGACTGACAGACTGCCAATGCAGATGGAAAGTTTGAAATTTCCTGCTTTGCTGAGAAGTCTCCCGGACACACTGCGGCCTTTGGGCTGAAGATGGATGCCCCAACATTACAGAGGAACTTCGGGTGACTGTCCAGATAGCGAGATGTCTCTGTCAATTCTAGTGTTTGTATATTATCCTTCTGTGGTCTTTGATAGAGTTGAAGGCAGATAGTTATAGTTTTCCTTAGTTATTATAAAAGATAAGCTACATATAGAACTTTGGACTCACAAGGATGGGATGGATATTTTCTTTAAATCTTGCTAAAATATTGTAACTATGTTCTTACTTGATAACTGTTCTGTTATATATAATTTTACTATGTTAAAGTTAAGACCTTTCTTTTTGTTTAGACAGAAAGGAGGAGATGATGGGGGAAGTCCTGTGTATATGTCAATAAAGCACTGTTGGCCAATAGGGAAGCAAGATAGGTGGGACTAGGAGTCGAGGAGGACTCTGGGTAGGAGAAACACAGGAAGTCAAGATGTAACTGCCATAGGGATAAGAAGCCCTGAAACTTTGCTCTGGTAAGCAAAGTTTGTTAGATTAACAATTACGGGATAAATACTTAATTCAGAGCTAGCCAGTAAGAAACAAGCGAGGCCAACAGCTTCATAATTAATATAGCCTCCTGTGTGTTTATTTGGGACTGATGCAGCTCTGGAACCAGGCTGGCAGAAGGCTTCTCTTTACATACATACATCTTCTACAATCTGGCCAGAGCTTCATACGAGAGCTTCAATCAACACTAGAACTCCAGTCAGGAACTTCAATCAAGCATCTCCTGCCATACAGAGACTGTCTGATCTACTAAAGATTCTGTTACACTAATATTTTTCTTCTCACAGGTCCCCATGAGATTATCATCGTCCCATCTCAGCAAGAAGTAGTTTTGAGAATTCCACGCTCCCTCTCCCTACTATTGATATTATAGGATAGTTTACACCTGTTAGTGTTAGTTTTCAATTATTTTAGAGTTGGGATTGGAAGGAGGTGTTCAGACTTGGGTGTTTCTTTCAGATAAGTTTAGGTTTAGACAGGATAGATGTTTGATACATTTTGTTCATTGACACAAGTTAGTTGTTCTAAGTTTAAATATCCTTTTTAGACTAAAAGGGGAATTGTAGGAGGAAGCTGTGTGCCGCCATTAACCATGTGACTTACTAGAGGCCCATGGGATAGATGTTTGATACATTTTGTTCATTGACACAAATTAGTTGTTCTAAGTTTAAATATCCTTTTTAGACTAAAAGGGGAATTGTAGGAGGAAGCTGTGTGCCGCCATTAACCATGTGACTTACTAGGGGCCCATACAGATGAGGTAATAAAAGAGCGGTTTACCACACCGCTAACCACACCCACTTTAGGCATGACTAAAGACGTATACGGACGGACGTAAAGACGTTTATGGACGTAGGCAGTGAACTACGTCACTAACCAGGCCCACTTTTGGGCATGGCTAGGGGCGTTACGGGGGAAGGTATAAAAGACTGAACAACGGAAGTCTTGGTCTCTTTTTCTGGCTTTCAGCTTCCAGTTCGACGGCGGAAAACTACTCGGCTCATCTCGGTTACTTGTTTGGTATCTTGTAAGTAATTTCGACAATAAATACTTAGTTTTACTTTCACTAAGTGTGCCGTTTATCGTTACAGCATCAAGGTAGGCAATGGTCACTCTCCTCCCTGTCCATTACAATCTCTCCAGTTTGGCCCCAAGTCCTTTAGCAGTCTGCTTGCAGGTACCCTTCTTCCTACCTCAACTCCATTCACTGGAGAGATTAACTCTTGGTACAGACCCAGGGTGCCCCTAGACATCTCATCCCTATCTTTCAAGATTATTCTCCATCTTACTGTAACCTACTTGCAGGAGCTCCTCCTCCCACCACACTTCCAACTCCCTACAGACTCTGGCTCTTGGTGTAGAGAGAATTCCTTAGCCCTTTCTCACAGGTCCTCTCTGCCTTTTCTCTTCATCCAAATCTAGTCCTCTCTGACATCCACAGACCTGCAGAGGCACTCTCTACCAGGCAACGTACAGCCACCACACTTTCCTAAAAATACAGAAAGGGCCTTTAATCCCAGCACTCGGAAGGTAGAGGCAAGTGGATCTCTCTGAATGTGAAGTCAGTTTGGTCTACATACTGAGTTCCAGGACAGCAAGGGCTATGTAGAAAGACCCTGTCTCAAAAAAGAAAAAATAGTAATAATAATAGGATCCTAAGGTATAAATATGAGTCCTAGAATTAATGAATTTTGTCCGTTGGTTACTTTAGCACATGTCAGTGAAGACTCCAAACCCAATTACTGCCCCTTTGATCTTTGCCTCCTGATGAGGGAGAGGGGTTTCATTACTATGTTGCCCAAGCTGGAAGAAGTGACTCCTTGCCTCAGCCTTCTGAATTCCTTTTATTACACAAATTTAATAGGTAAATTTTCTATTTAGAATGAGATTCTATTATGGAACTTTTAGTTTTCATATATATAATAATCATATAATTCTATTATGGAATTTTTAGTTTTATATGTATAATTAATCATATTATTTTCATGTTCCCTCCATCAATCCTGACCTAATAATAACAATCCTCTCCAAGGAGACTTGGGTGACACACCAAAAAAGATGGCCCCAGTATTTGGGGAGGAAGGTGAGGTCACTGTCTCCCATTCCCATCCCTCTCAGCCTGACTAACTCCAATATCTAGTATTTTAGATTAAATCATCATTCTACTCTTCATTTGACTTATTCTCATACAAACATAAGAAAAATATTGCCCCTTACTGTGAGTCCTCACCAATTTGCAGTTACATTTTTATTTCCTTGGTAAAAATTAAGCTTCTCCAATTGTTACAGGCTCCCTAAGAACAACAATAGGCTGAATTTTGCCACTTTGCCGTAATCAACTATTCAAGTATACAAGAAATGAACAGAGCATTTAAAAGTGTCAAAAAGAGGCTAGGGACATACATCAGCAGTACAGGAGTTGCCTCATATGTGCAAGGCTCTGAATTCAAACCCTTGCACTGCAAAATAAATAAACATACTATCACAATACATAACTTTCTGAAAAAAATGAGTGACTATTTCAAAACAACAGAATGACTATAACCATTGCTTTAAGCACAAAGAGACATAAGAACACAATCACTTTCAATATTATAAACCTTCAAAGGTAACTAGAGACACCTCTTTCAAAGGAGCAGGCTTACAACCAACTGTAACTCCAGTTCCAGAGGAATCCCTCTTCTGCCCTCTTCGCACACCTCTGGCCCCTTTTGGTCTCTTCAGGTACCAGCACACACTTGCACATACAAGCACACAGACAAAAGCATATAAATAAAGAATAATATTAAGTATTGGAGGAAAACTACCATTGATGGGGTGTTAGAACCAAGAACAACCAAAAATATATTTTTGAACAATGTGGAGAATCTTTTTCCACAAAGGCCATATGTTAATGGCATTTTAATGTCTTTACTTTTTCAGATTCATGTGTTTTATGTGCATTTTGGTTGCATGTAAGTTTGTGTACCATGTGTGTGCCTGGTGCCCAAAGAGGTCAGAAGAGGGGGTTAGATCACCTAGGACTGGAGTTATTGATAGTTATGAGCCACATATGGGTACTGGAAATAGAACCTGAGTCCTCTGTAAGAGCAACAAGGGCTCTTAACCACTGAACTATCTCCTCAGTCTCTAAGTACTTATTTTATGATGCTTTACCAGACACTTAAAGCTCAATTAACAAGCCTGCGATTTTCAAACTATTTCCTTTGAAACAGTTGAAAACTGAAGTTTAAAAAAAGGCCACACTTACATCAAAGATTCTATAATGCTAATTAGAACTTAATGATTGTTGCAGATCCAGAGCAAAAATTATCAGGGATTATGTTTAGTCTCCTTAATAACCATCTAATGCCCACCTCTCATTTCAACTGTCAGGTAAAACCTTTGTTCTGTATTCTTGGAACACTATCATGGCCTGGCTATAACCCAACTTTACCTGGTATTTCCACCAAGGTTTTCAAATTGCCTTGATTTATGAAAAGTTCACATTGCCAGGTGTAGTCACCTATGCCTTTAATTCTAGCACTCAGAAGACAGACCAAACTCTGTTCCAGGCCAATGTGCTCTACTTTGAAAGTTCCAGGCCAGCCAGGGCTACCCAATGTCACTCTTACTGGGTAGCCTGGCTGGTAGAAAAACAAATGAAAAAGAAATCATGTAACCACTTCTACCTTGGAACACATTATTTGGGGCAACAAATTTTCTCAGGACACAGTCATTATTTGGTTCAAAATCAATTCTCATTCCCTTTGAAGTGAGAGTTGTTTTGGGAGGGTTGTTGTTGTTTGTTTTGTTGCATCAACACAGCTCACACACACACACACACACACACACACACACACACACACACACACACACACACACACACCAATCCCAAAGCTTCAATAGTCTTTCCACTTTGAATCCCTGTGGGCAGGGCCTAAGAAGTGTCAGATGGACAGAATGACTACCGCTCCTCTTTCAGTACACACGCGTTTACACGCACACCCACAACTTTAAAAAGTGCTTCCTGCCCAAATGTAAGCGACTGTTAGAAATAATTATTTATGGGGCGTGCGAAGAGGACGCTGTATTTCTGATGTAACACAGGATGGCAACGCTCTCTCAACAGCTTTTACCTGGCACTCACCTGAACGCGCCGAATCCGCCAATTCCTGAGGACGCAAGACGGAGAACTAAACCCGCAGCGAAAACCCGGGTCGCGCTCGCCCGCCCGTGGCACCGAGGAAACGCCGCCGCCAAGGGCTAAGCCCGCCTCTCCCAAGCCACTACCCCGCACCGCCTCTGCGGAGCAACGGAACGCAAACTCTTGGAGCCCGCGCCGGAAGAGACCGAAGGCAACACCGACAGCGCTTCCGCTTCCGGCTTGGGGCTGCCGGACCAGATCCGGCTCCTGCTCTGGCGTTTTGAAGGACTTTCGTGGGAAGAGTTTGTTTCTTGGCACCGCCAAGGCCTCACCCAGGTTGATGGCCAGTGAGACGGAAAAAGAACTCCGCGACCCAGAGCTGGGGCGTGAGAGACCGCGGACGGCGGCTAATGTCGCTCCGGCTCTGGAGTGCACTCTCCTCCGACTGTGGCTGCTTCACTTTACCCCGAATTTACGCCACTTGGGGCAGGGAAATCACAGTTTTCGGCCCGAAGAGCGGCTGTGCCCCAAGTCGATTAAGAGTCTTTAGAGTCTCGGCTGGCCGCAGAACCAGGCTCACTAGCCTTGTTTAGGCGACAGGCAGGTCAACAAGAGGGGCCATGCCCGGACACCGGCAGAGCGCCCATGTCACACAGTGTCCCTCTTACTGGTCTGAGCCTCCCGTCCCAGTGTGCTCACTTAAGCATTCGGGTGTCCGTATCTCTAGTCACAAATTACACACGGACAGGAAGCAAGGACAGTTTATTACAAAAAGGAAAGCAGGGCGGCTGAGATGGCTCAGAGGGTGATCGCTCTTGTCTGACGACCTGAGTTCAACCCCCGAAGGACTGACTCCCGCAAGTTGTCCTCTGATACTCCACACGTACACCCACCCTCTCACACACATCATACAAAATAATAATAGTAACTAAAAAAAATTGGGGGGTCGGACGTACTGGCCCACACCCAGTACTTGCGGAAGGCAGAAGCAGCCTGAGTTGAGTCCAGCTGGGTCTACTAAACTAGCCAAGGCTACACAGTGAAACTTTCCACTCTCAAAAAAAAAAAAAGGAGAAAGGAAAATTTATTTAAAGAGGGGGTGGGGATCACCCAAGGAGTCTGTTTCAAACGCACTGGGCCAAAAGCCTTATGACCCTTGATATGACATTTATACAGTACCTGCCTCTTGCAAGCATGTGAAGCCTCTCTTGAGCATGCTCCATTTGTAATATAAAGGCCAGAAAGGAAGTCTTTTCCTGCCGACTGCCTTCTTTCGTATGTTCAATATTAGTGGAGCTTCTTGTCACAATACTCTTCTAGTGACTGCCTTTGTTCCTAGAGCCCTATTAAGGCAGAGTAGAAAGCTGAAAATTTGGGGGACATGAGAAGAAAAGCCTGAAAAAGTAGGTCTGCCTTGTCTGTCCTGTTGACAGACTCAGAAACATGTAGACACACTGTAGGCTAGGGCTTCCTACTATTATGATTTTGCTAAATGATCCTGTTGTTAATTTGCCTTCTGTGGTGGCTTGAATAAAAATGGCCCCCATAAAGGCCTAGGCCATGCCCCCAAATGACTTGACAGATTTTAATGATCCCTCATGGAAGGCCTCAATCTCCCTGAGGTGGATGGGGGATGGGATGAGGGGGTCAATGGGGGATGTGGGAGGATGGGAGGGAGAAGGAACTGGGATTGATATGTAAGATTGTTTCTAATTTAAATAAAATTTATTTTTTAAAAAGTCCCCCATAAATCCATAGGGAGTGGCATCATTAGGAGGTGTGGCCTTGTTGGAGTAGGTGTGACCTTGTAGGAAGTACAGCACTAGAGGGTGGGCTCTGAGGTTTCAGAAACTCAAGCCAGGCCTACTGGGGCAGTCTTTTCCTGCTTCCTGCAGATCAAGATGTAGAACTCTCAGCTCCTGATCTAGCACCATGTCTGGCCTAAACCTCTGAGCTGTAAGCCAACCCCAATTAAATGTTTTCCTTTATAAGAATTGTCATGGTCATGGTGTCCTCGTCACAGCAATAGAAATCCTAACTAAGATACTTTCTAAATGTTTATATCCATATATTGATGCTTCTCTCAGCCTTGACCAGAGAAGCTTCTTTTTGCAATGGTTAATGTGGAGACTCATAACTGGTCAAAGTACTGAGAACAAATGACTATTCAGTTCTCAGCCTTGAATAGGAAATCAATATCATTTGTTCCAAGGATAAAGGCATCAAGGAAGAAAGGGTTAAAAGACTATAATCTGGAGGATGTTAAAGAATGCTGTGAACACCATGATTTTTGTTTGTTTTGTTTTGTTTTTTTCTAGACAGGGTTTCTCTGTATTGCTTTGGAGCCTGTCCTGGAACTCAAGCTCTGTAGATCAGGCTGACCTCTAACTCACAGAGATCCACCTACCTCTGCCTCCTGAGTGGTGGGATTAAAGGTGTGCACCACCACAAACTAGTTGAACACAATGCTTTTGATATGCACTCATGAGCTCCTAGCAGCAGTGACTGGGTCTATCAATATTTCATCAGGAATGAAAGAGGCATTGTTATGTAGTGGTTTCCTCCAAGATTAAAACCTTCCATCTTCAAGGAAAGCTGATAAGACACAGGAGGTTAAACTACAGGATGTCTTAAAGGGGACACTCTTTAAGACACAGGATAGTTATTGGGAGGTGAAACATTGCTCCTTAAGCTCAAGAAGTAAACAACTCAGTGGTATCAGGAAGTGTTGTAGAATATTAATTTAACTGGTCAGATGGGCATCAAAGAAACTTGTTATAGAGTTTGCTTTCAACATGGCAAGGTTAGCCATTTGGGCAAGAAACTGCTTTTGCCTGGACTGCTTGACTGTTGCTGTATAATCTGGATATGTAGGACCCACAGGAAACTGACTGCTGAACTCAAATAGTCCTTCAGGGTTCCTGCTTCATGAAAGAGTCTATGAGACTTTCTGCAGGACACAGAAAAATAACTGATAGACTGCTGATGCAGATGGACAGTTTGAAATTTCCTGCTTTGCTGAGAAGTGTTCCAGACACATTGTGGCCTATGGGCTGAAGATGGATGCCCCAACGTTACAGAGGAACTTCGGGTGATTGTCCAGGCAGTAAGATATCTCTGTCAATCCTAGTGTTTATATATTATCCTTCTGTGGTCTTTGATGGAGTTGAAGACAGATAGTTATAATTATAATTTTCCTTAGTTATGATAAAAGATAAGCTACATATAGAACTTTAGACTCACAAGGATGGGATGGATGATATTTTCTTTAAATCTTGCTGAATGTTGATAGACACAATATTGTAACTGTATTCTTACTTGATAACTGTTCTGTTATATACAATTTGACTGTGTTAAAGTTAAGACCTTTCTTTTTGTTTAAACAGAAAAGAGGAGATGTTGGGGAAGTCCTGTTATTTGCCTGTTATTTGTCAATAAAGTACTGTTGAGCCTATAGGAATCTAGATAGGTGGGGCTAGGAGTCCAGGAGGATTCTGGGAAGGAGAAACACAAGAGAGTTGAGATGTAACGCCATTGGGGTAGGAAGCCCGGAAACCTCTCCGGTAAGAGACATACTTAGATTAACAATTATGGGGTAATTACTTAAGTCAGAGCTAGCCAGTTAGAAACAAGCAAGGCCAACAGCTTCATAATTAATACAGCATCTTGTGTGATTATTTGGGGACTAGAATGTGGCAGAGCCCAGGTGGCTGGCGGGGGATATACCAAAGCAGTTATCAAAGGAAAAGCTTCTCATAACAGTCAAAGATGTGTTACATTTGTTCATGCTGACAAATATTTAACTATGCAAAGGTCTGTTACTTTTGTTTATGCTGCATTTGTTTCATGATGTAAGGATATGTGTTTAATTATGTAAAGACGGGTTGCATTTGTTTAATCTTGCCTGCCAAAAGCACCTGATTAGTATAATAAAAAGCTGAACAGCCAATAGCTGGACAGGAGAAAAGATAGGCAGGACTGGCAGGCAAAGAGAATAAGTAGGAGGAGAAATCTAGGTTCAAAAACAAATGAGAGGAAGAAGAATAGGAGGGAAAAAGAACATACCCAGGGGAAGAAGCCAGACAGCCACCTGCTAGCTAGACACAGGAAGCACTGAAAGTAAGAAAAGAAATACAAAGAAAGAAAAAGTAAAAAGCCTGAGGCTGCAGGTAGATAAAGAGAAACATGTTAAGTTAAAAGAAATAGCCAGAAATGCCCAAGCTAGGCTGAACATTCAAAACTAATAAGAAATCTCTGTGTCACGATTTGGGAGCTGGTTGGTGATCCCAAAGAAAAAGCCTGATACAAGGAAGTTCCTGAAATAGACCAGATTCACGAGGACCCTCCTTTCCCAAGCATATTTTAGCAGTAAGGGCTACTGAGAGACACTCCCAAACAAACTGAGCTGCCTAGAAGAAACAGAGATTAACCATGCTGCCTGGAAGAGATTCAGATTAATCTTTTGTGCTGCCTGCAGACAGGCAATGTGCTCCAGGTTCCCAGCTTTTGTGAGATGTCACCCATGCTGGGGTGGGCTTTGGTGATACAGCTATTTTGGAGTTATTTCTGCTCCTGTAAGTAACTCCTCATCCATATTCTTGTAAATGACCCAATAAAACGTATTTGCTTACCAAGTTGTACTTTGGTATTATCCATGCTTTGGTATATTATCAGTTCCCAATCTGGTATGCACAGATGCTTGTTCATGTTTCCTCAGGAATGGTGTCATACAACAAGGGCTCATGAGACCCATACCTTTCCCTGAGAAACTATAAGCTCTAGGTTGTTAAAGGTTGCTGGAGGAGAGACAGTCACAGTGTTCAATGATATAACCCCAGTTGCCCTTGTTCTACTAAATACCATGAATGGAAGGGTTTTCCAGCACAAGGGTATCTTGGCAATTGGAAGCCAAGGAATAACACAAAGCCATACTATGAAACAAAACTCACACAAAAGATTTATTGGGGAGAAACCCAGTCTCAGAGGTAGGCCCAAGCCACCGGTCCAGAAACAGCATCAGAGGGAGTCCCAAACCACCACCCAGGAACTACATGGGAGGCACTGGAGCAGTCAGTATCAGACATAGGCTGGAGCCACTGACTCAGAAGCAGCACCAGAGGGAGACCCAAGCCTCAGGCCTGGGTGAGACTACAGTGGTGGCTTCCAGAAGTCATTACAAGAAGTTCCTCTGGAAAAGAGCACCTGTGTCCAAGCCAGCATCTACTGCCATTTCTCAGTTGTACATACTGTGTTGCTACAGTGACCACTGAACCCTCAGCCCCACCTAAACTTAAAGGAGCAATCACCAGAATCTTGACCCCACCTGCAAAGGGAGGAACATCCACCAGCATTATAGCCCCACCTGTATCTCAGTGAGTGATCACCTGAGCCTTGAAACCACTTGCACCAGGAGGATCAATCACCAGAGGCTCTGACCTGCTTGTACTTGAA